CTGAAGAGACACGAAAGTATTTGACTATTAACACACATAAGGGTCTATTTCAGTATCAGCGGTTAGTTTTCGGTGTGACGTCAAGCCCAGCAATTTGGCAACGTGCCATGGACCAGGTGTTACAGGGTATACCTGGAACACAATGCATCCTTGACGACATGATAATTACCGGAAAGTCCAATGAAGAGCACTTAGAACGGTTAGAGGAAGTTCTAAAGCGATTACAAGAGGCAGGTCTGAGAGCAAACAAAGAGAAGTGTGAATTCTTCAAGGAGAAAGTTGTGTTTTGTGGCCATGAAATTGATGCCAATGGTTTACACAAAACCCAAGAGAAGATCGAGGCAGTAGTGAACGCCCCTAGGCCCGAGAATGTGTCACAAGTTCGATCCTTCCTAGGACTGGTAAATTACTATAATCGGTTTCTCCCCAACGCAGCTTCAGTTCTTCACCCACTACATGTATTGCTTCAGAAAAGTCACAAGTGGAAGTGGACTGAACAATGTGAGAAAGCTTTTAAAAATGCCAAGCACTTGATAACCTCTGACCTAGTCCTAACCCACTACGACACAACGCTTCCAGTTAAGATCGCATGTGATGCTTCACCAACCGGAATTGGTGCAGTGTTGTCGCATGTTATGGCAGATGGAAGTGAAAGACCAGTGGCTTTTGCATCCAGATCCCTCACCAAGACGGAGCGCAAGTACTCCCAGATTGACAAGGAAGCACTGTCAATTGTGTGGGGGGTCAAGAAGTTTCACATATATTTGTATGGGCGACGGTTTACACTAGTCACTGACCATAAACCTCTGACATCCATTTTCCATCCAGAAAAAGGAATACCCATAATGACGGCCACAAGACTCCAACGCTATGCATTGTTCCTAGCTGGATTCGAATACGACATTGAGTACAAGAATACGAAAGAACACTGTAATGCAGATGGTCTATCACGACTACCACTGCCAATGACGGAGAAAGAGGATACAGCTGTGGATGCAGCTGACGTGTTTCATGCAACCCAGTTAAACATTCTCCCAGTCACCAGTGAATCGGTAGCTAAAGAGACAAATCGTGATCCCATATTAGCCAGAGTTTATGATTCAATAGTTAAAGGTTGGTCAGCACGTTTCGAGGGAGACAAGCCCTACCATGACCGACAGAGTGAACTTACAGTTCATCAAGGTTGTATCCTTTGGGGAATGAGAGTGGTCATCCCTAGCAAGTTGCAAGAGAGAATTCTGCGAGAGCTACATGATAGTCATTTGGGTATCGTCAAGATGAAGGCCCTATCACGAAGCTAGGTGTGGTGGCCAAACATCAACCAACAGTTGGAGAACGTAGCGAAAACCTGTAGTGGTTGTCTACAGAACCAAAAGATGCCATCCAAGGTATCCTTACACCCATGGGAATGGACCACTTCACCATGGCAACGTGTATATATTGATTATGCTGGTCCTTTTAAGGATACTATGTTCCTGGTGGTGGTCGACGCACACAGCAAGTGGCCAGAAGTAATTCCTATGAAGTCGACAACCGCAGCGAAGACCATTGAAGTACTACGAAATTTGTTTGCACGATTCGGAATCCCGGAACAGATTGTCTCCGATAATGGCCCCCAATTCGTCTCAGAAGAATTCCGGTCGTTTATGAAATCTAATGGAGTAAAACACATCACCTCTGCCCCATACCACCCTGCTACAAATGGCCTTGCAGAAAGATCAGTGCAAACATTCAAACAGGCACTGCGTTCAATGGAAGAAAGTTCGAAGCCAATTCAAGAGAAGTTAGCAAAATTTCTTATAACCTATAGAAATACCCCACATTCAACAACTGGAGAGAGCCCAGCACAACTTATGCTTGGCAGGCCAATACGGACACGTTTAGACTTAGTTAAACCTAATCTGAACAGGAAGATGGTGATCAAACAACAGGAGCAGAGCAGGAAGTCGGCCAGTGCCAAGAACAGAGCAACACGACAGTTGGAAGTGGGAGACATGGTAATGGCACGTGATTACCGAGGAAATCTAAAGTGGAGATCGGGAAAGGTCATTGAAAGGATCGGACCTTTGATGTATAAGATCGAAGTGACATCGGGCGTAATCTGGCGCAGACATATTGACCAACTGCTGCCAACCGAAGTTAAACTAAGCACAATACAGGACAGGGAGCAAACTGCAAATATGGGAGTAGTGCAGCCGGAAGTGATATCCAGTTCAAGTGAACAGACGTTGCCAATAGTAACAGCAGACTTGCAAGTGCAACAGGGCTCCAGCACCCACGAACTTGTAAATGAGAGCACTACAGAGACATCAATGCCTCTGGCGACAACGAGCGAACGAAGATATCCAGAAAGAGTGAGGAAACCACCTGTGAGACTTGATCTTTAAAGTAGCAGTGTTACGGACAGATGTAGGGGTTAGAACGTATATTTACAGTATATAGATATACAGCAAAGACTGTTAATTATGACTTTAATGTTAATGTTATGTGCAGCAAAGACTGGATATTGACTGAACAATTTTTAGTAGGGAGGAGATGTTATGGGTTACCTATGTTATTAGGATGCGCGCGCATCCACCATGTGTTCGGGATGAGTGCTTCTTGTTGAGTGATACACGAAATATAATATAGCTATTTAATAGAAAGCAAATACACAACATGAACGGTCTCATTGTACGTTGATTATTGGTGGCAATAATAACAAAACTTGGTTGATAGGAATGGAAGTGCGTGGAAAATAAACTCAAAATACAAGGGAAATTCGACGTTTCGAGCGAAGGCCCTTCTTCGGGGAGTCAGTAGGCAAATTTCTCGACCAAGAACTAACTTCCTGACGAAAAAACTTCGCTGGAAACGTCGAATTTCTCCCTACATTTTTCAAGTACATCACTATCAGCCATTCTGTTATATAAGAGTTACCATCTAGCGCAAACATGGCTTCCACAATAATGAAATATAAAGCATGAAACACTGTTGGTTTGGCAAAACAAATGGCGCTGCGAGAAAGATGTATCAGTTTCTTCTGCTCAAAAGAGTCCATCTCTATTCTCTTCCAATAAGGGTGGATTAATCTCATTTTTCGTTCATGTTTTTGAGTTTATTCTAACGATTGCGAAATCTCGCGCATCAATAATTTTTGTTTTGTAAAGTGGAAACACCACATGAACTTTTTGCGAGCTAAACTTTGATACTCGTGTTGTTTACAACCTGCATCTCTGAATATTCACATTTTTATAATCAGAAATTCTGTAAGAACCGAGATATTGTACAGATTCAATAAAGAAAGACTCCAGGGAACAACTGGGCGATATTTTTATCGATATTTGACCGTACGGGCAAAAATCAAAAGCTGAAACCATGTCTAGCAAATGCGACTTGTGCAACAAGATATTTTCCCAGAGAAGCTCTTTGCTAAGACATAAAAGAACACACACTGAAGACAAACCTCATGAATGTGATGTTTGCAACAAAAGATTTTCCCGGTCACCTGCCTTGACTGTACATAAGAGAACACACACTGGAGACAAACCTTATGAATGCGATGTTTGCAACCAAAGATTTTCGCAGTCAGCTCACCTTACTGAACATAAGAGAACACACACTGGAGACAAACCTTATGAATGCGATGTTTGCAACAAAAGATTTTCGCAGTCAGCTCACCTTACTGAACATAAGAGAACACACACTGGAGACAAACCTTATGAATGCGATGTTTGCAACAAAAGATTTTCGCGCTCAAGCACTTTAACCGTTCATAAGAGAACGCACACTGGAGACAAACCTTATGAATGTGATGTTTGCAACAAAAGATTTTCACACTCAAACACATTAGTTAGACATGAAAGAACACACACTGGACAGCAACCTCATGAATGTGATACTTGTAAGAAGAAATTTTCATGCTTGAGCAACTTAGTTATGCACAAACGAACACATACTGGAGAGAAACCTTATGAATGTGATGTTTGCAACAAAAAATTTTCACAATCGGGCAACTTAGCTACCCATAAAAAAACACATACTCAAGATAAATCTTATGAATGTGATGTTTGCAACAAAAGATTTTCGCATTCAGGTCACTTTACTGAACATAAGAGAACACACACTGGAGACAAACCTTATGAATGCGATGATTGCAACAAAAGATTTTCGCGCTCAAGCACTTTAACCATTCATAAGAGAACACACACTGGATACAAACCCTATGAATGTGATGTTTGCAACAGAAGATTTTCACACTCACACTCCTTAGTTAGACATGAAAGAACACACACTGGACAAAAACCTCATGAATGTGATGCTTGTAAGAAGAAATTTTCATGCTTGAGCAACTTAACTATGCATAAACGAACACATACTGGAGAGAAACCTTATGAATGTGATGTTTGCAACAAAAAATTTTCGCAGTTAGGTCACTTTACTGAACATAAGAGAACACACACTGGAGAGAAACCTTATGAATGCGATGTTTGCAAGAAGAGATTTTTATGCGCGGGCAACTTAACCAAGCATAAAAGAACACATACTGGAGTCAAACCTTATGGATGCAATATTTGTAAGAAGAGATTTTCACAATCAAGCCACTTAGCTACTCAAAAGGGAACACATACTGGAGACACACCTTTTGAATGTCACGTTTGCAACAAGGGATTTTCAGAATCACATAATTTAACACGACATAAAATATCAGCACACAAGGTAAAGCAGTGTTTTGAGTGCGCTAAATGTAAGAAAACATTCACAGAACATAAAAGTCTCAAACGTCACTGGAGAGTACATTCAAGAGATGGCTTATTATTCTGCAACAGTTGTGGCAGGGAAATTATTCAAGAACAAGGACATGTTGGTGAGATACTGAGTGGTGATTATCTTGTGTGTGACAAGTGCGACAAACAATTCCCTGATATTGAAAGTTTATATCAGCACAAAGCCAAAGACCATGGTACGTCCTACCAATGTGATGTCTGTAAGGAATTAGACGCAAAAGAAGCAACTGGCATTGGTTATATCTGTTGTGTCTGCGATGCCGAGTTTGAAATCCCCACCAAACTTGAAGATCATATGAGTATGCATGACAATGTGCTGCCCCACCAGCAAGGCAAGATAAATTGAAAATCGCTCGTTCATGTGGGTGGTGATCTTCTGCATGTGATCACTCTTACTCTGTTTACACTTTTCAATTGCCAGCTCTCAATTGCTGTCACATGTGCGTTTTCTCAACTTTACAGGAGATTCAGTTCTCTAGCAAAAGGTTCCATATTGTCGATATGCGAAAAGTGCATCATATTTTCAAATATTAATATTTTGGAAATATCGATATTTATCAAAGATATATTGATATATCGCATCAACCTAGCTAATGTGTTGTGTTAAAACCTCTCTTGAAATTTATTTGAAACTGTTGTGAAGTTGTTTGAGATTGTTTGAAATTGGTTGAATTGTTTAGAGATTCTTTTGACACAGTAATGCAATGAGTCAATGTAACTGTTTATAAATATGATTGAAAGGTGATATTGATAATTGACTGTAATGCATTTTGAACTAAAGTCATTGTGTACATATCTGGGTTTTTTGTTAGAAGTTTGTTAAAATAGTGTATTCTTAGTATAATAAGATTTGGTTAGAATAGTAGTACTTTGAACTTTGTCTTTGTAATTCATTTTGTCATTGTCAATTTTATATCTATTTTGAAATTCGATGTATCTACAAGCATGCATGGGCGACACCAGCCGCATCTGCAAGGAGGAGTGCTGGTTCTCCATGGGGTGGTGCATGAGGGAGCCTTACTGCCCAATCTCCTCTGTAGTCTACAACGGCTGCCATCCGAACATCACCATTATTTGAGATGGTCGAATCTGCATGTTAGCCGTTGTTATGTTTTATATTATATTGACGTGTCTATATCGTCTTTTTCCATGTATGCGTGATTGGATAGCTTCTGTAGCACAGTGTAGTAAATCTGCTTGTTACACTGGCTGCAGCCTGTCTCATAATTTATCCTTGCTGAAAATGCTGGGAATTTTTCGTGTTTTTTTTTGTTGTCGCAGGTGTGACTTTCCATTGCGGCATCCTTGGCTCAGGATTGCGCAATTTAGCTAAAACATGCTCACGACTATTATTAGGTCCAATTCTACACAATGTTAATCAGAACGACTTTCGTGTTAAACTACGTTCGAAATCTTAGACGCTGTAATTGTGTGATGTATTTTATTATATTTCATTGCGCATGCGCTCGAACTTTTCTGTGTTTTTCGATATATCGCTGACTCTATTGGCTTTGTATCGATTATTTTGTGCCGTCCTCTGAATGTTTGTGATCATGAAGTGACGGCGGTCAAGAAGTGAAGAACATCTACATGTTTCAAATTATTTGTTATGTATTGCGATGTTATTTTACCAACCGCGCGGCCAGTGTGAACGCCTGAGCAGGCGTCTACATCTTGTTAAAGTACAGTATATGGCTGTATAACAACCTTAACATGTTTATTATTTAGCCGTGTTATTTAAATATAAACATTCTGAGTATTGTACGGGAGTATCTAATTGGAGCAGGTAGCGGGTCGCGGGTATAAGGAGCGGGTAATTAAAAAAGGAGCGGGAAAAAGAAGCGGGTAATTAAAAAAGGAGCGGGTAATTTGAGTAATTGCCCAGGTGCTAAGCGCTTGTGGGAAATTTTAAAGAAAAAAAAGACATTTTTTTATGAAAGTGTAACAACATGAGGACCATTTTTACTAAACGAAACCATTGACTTCACATAAAAAATCTCGAAAATTCTATCAAATGTTAAATTGACAGATATTTAACAGCCTGAACATGTCTTATTATGACGTGCTGAAAATACGTACACACATGCAGCGCAACGTTTTTGGGTCACCAAACGGACAAAAATTATTATAACATGCACAAGTGCCACTCAAAACTCTACAGTCTGTCTCAGCTATTGCCTCACCAAACTGTGGAAAACTATGAACATATTGAACGCGGTTTGCACGGTTAGGGTTTAGGTTTGCTGAACACGATTGACTTTATTCAGAAACTGATAGTGGTGTAGCATATATACACATTTTTCGGACTACACGTACACAGCCAGAAATCTCACAGGCCTGTCGCAAGCTGTTGATTTTACCGGCTTGCGGCAAGTTGTCAACAAGTCGCGACAGGTCTGTTGGTTTCGTCAGGCGGTAACAGGCTTGCGGGAACAGGTCTGTCGCAAGCTGTTGACAACAGAGCTGTAGCGACTTGTTGAGACAACCCGCTACAAACCTGTTACTAACAAGAGATAACAGGTCTGATAGAACAACTTGCAGCAAGTCTGTTGAAATCAACAGGTCTGTTCCAACTTGTTCCAACAGACCTGTCACGAGTTGTTTTTGTCAAGTCTGCAGCAAGCTTGTTATCAGACCTGCGACAAACCTGTCCACAACAAACAATTTTTGTCCTGTCACAACAAGTTTCAACAAGCCTGTTGTTGGGAAACAGACCGAAAATGTGAGTAAAGAGATAAATCGCACGAAATGGACACTTCCGGCTTCACTTTCTCATTTAATCATTGTCATTGGTGGCAATATTAAATCACATAGGAGAGATTATAGTCCATAGTATCTATTCTCTGATTATTATAAAATGCAAAAGCCGCTGTTTTATTTTTTTTAAAAAAGTTCCGATTTCCAAAATCCAAATTCCAATTTGCTGACGTGTGCTATCGCTATATTTCTTTAATCTGATTGGATAAACGCGTGTGCACACGTCATCATTCCTCGTTGCAATTGGGCGAAATATTACAAACATATCAATCACGTAATCATGTTTAGTTGTTTTTGAATTTTGAGCCAAACAAAATTTCAACAACTGCCTCAAACAAAATCAAACAAGTTCAAAGCTGTTTTGATTTTTGAAGAAACTGTGGCAATGAGAATACAAGATCTACTAGAGCTTAAGAAATGAACAATACATGAACAACCGAGTGTTAACTGCAACGTTCGTCATTGTTGATATGAACATGAAATTCGTTATATAATTTCTTTCCAATTTCAAATGAAATCTGCGAGCGAGGAAGACGCCTTATTGAAGCTTTGTGTTATGGTATGTACTGTTTTGAAGAAAAATATGCAAGTAGGTTGTCATATTTCGGTCGTACTTAAAGACAATTAATTTGGAAAATTGTTTACGATAAGAACCTTTCTTGAATTTGTCGTATTTTTTCGGCTGTTTTGCTCAAAAATTATCTCGCAAGTTTGTTTATAAAACTTTATATTCATATATAAAAATTATTTCGCAAGTTTGTTTATAAAACTTTATATTCATATATAAAAATTATTTCGCAAGTTTGTTTATAAAACTTTATATTCATATATAACAATTATCTCGCAAGTTTGTTTATAAAACTTTATATTCATATATATAAAAATTATCTCGCAAGTTTGTTTATAAAACTTTATATTTCAAACTTCTATTTCACGAAACACTACAACCGAAATATGGCAACCTGTTTGGCTGTTTTTTTGTTCAAAATAGTGGATACACAAGCTTCATAAGGCGCTTTCCTCGGTTTGCAACAGGTCTGTCGCAAGTTGTTGAAAACAGCATTGCTGCAGCTCTGTGTCAACAACTTGCGACAGGCCTGTTGAAAACAGCATTGCTGCAGCTCTGTCACAACAGCTTGTAACAGACCTGTTGAAAACAGCATTGCAGCAGCTCTGTCACAACAGCTTGTAACAGACCTGTTGACAGGCCGTTGCAGGTCTGTCAGAACCAGTGAACTGTAAATAACCTGGAACGATAACTCAAGCAAACATGCCCATACCAGTGAACTATATACATGGAAGGCTGACTTCAGTCATTGACGTAATCAAAAAGTGAAGCCAAGATGGCGGAATTTGAAGCCATTCTTGCGCGTCATTCTCAGTCCCCTTACCCGCGCGGCCAAACAATTTTTGTATTTTCATGGCGGGAAGTGATGGGTCCGCGACTCTCGGGTTGTGTTTTTCTTCATTTTAGAAGAGCAAAAAAGGAAATAAACTTCATTTATTTCATGTAAACCTGATTTCCTTCATCTACTCGATCTGTCTACTGCATTTTCCCACTGTATGTGTGAGTAAATCTGTATTTTTCGTTGCGAATTCAACAACTAATTTCAAACTTTTTTGTTTTTTTGATATAAAATCTGTATTTTTATAAATTGGCAATTTATTTTTGCTTTGGTTGTTTCGTTTTCTTGTTTCTATGGTGCTTTTCAGTTTTCACACCATTATTTAGCTTATTTTAGTCGGTTTTCCTGACCTAAAACTGCTTTTTAACTGCAGTTTTCGAGGCAGTTTTTAGCCAATTTAATTCCATACATGTTAGAAAATTTTGTTTTTTTATTTTCTATTTAATAAAATCACTTTGATGTTTGCCTTATAAACTTAAACTGTTCATTTTAATGAGTTATTCATGTGTGTGAAACTCTTGTCGATAGGGGCAATAGAGATATTTTGAAAGATTGAGTGACTTTGTGTTTTGTTTTGTCACTCCTTGTCATTTTACAAAAACAGCAATCCCGCGCTATTTTGCTTTCTTTCCACTCAAATATCACATCTCCTAAACAAATAATAATTAAAATTTATAACCGAACCCAAACAAAATACCAGAATTCAACTTTTCATTCAAATTTCATCTGTTTTTCACCAGATTTTTACTCGGAAAGTAAAGAAAAATATAAAAGTTTTGTTGACCGCGCACGTAAGGGGACTGAGAATGACGCGCAAGAATGCCTTCAAATTCCGCCATGTTGGCTTCACTTTTTGAGCTCGAGTCAGACTTCCATGTTATATAGTTCAGTGGTATGATTTTATTGAACAGAAATGAATTAATACCACTGATTGTTGGGCTACCTATGATGAAACAACTAAACAAGACAGCATATAATTTCAGTGTATCTTTAATATTGATTCCATTTTTTATTATATTGAATTTTTTAAATAAAAAAACAAAGCAAAGTTATTTGCATGTGAGAATTTGAAATCATTTTATTGCAAACTCAAAGTTTATCGATGAAGCCATTTAATTATTAAAGGCAGTTTAGTTTTATATTAAAAAACACTTTAAAACGTTTTGCGAAGCGTTTGTGGTTGAATTTTACCTTAAATTGAAGCTTATATTACGTATAATAACACACCTAACATATACGCTAATAATAGCAAATCAATTAGTGCATGCATGCATGTTTAATTAATTATTTTAGTTTTAGTATAAAAGCTTGTGTTAAGCATAGGTTAGTTAGTATGTTTGTAAATTCCGAGTATAACCACGATAAAGAACCGTGGTTCTTTAAAAAGGAAATATAAATCTTAACACTTGAACCTGAGTACTTTATTATGGATAACAAAATCAAAGTGAGATCGCAGTTTAAGGCTATATAGTTCTTTATCTATTCTCGGTTGAATTAACTGGCTACATTCGATGCACTTTGGCAAAAAGCTCGGTTAGTTACACTATGGAGACGCGCGGAGCTGCTCAACGAGTAACCAATACTACACTAGATCAAGAAGGAGTATTCAACGAGAGATTGAACAAACTTCGTAGGTCTATTGCGAGCTATAGGGGTTATTTAACTCGTCTGTATAGAGAGACGGATGAGCTCATGCGGAACTATGATAATTACAAGGAAGTAATAAAGAAACGTGAGGATTTAGATAAAGGTTTTGCAAACTTTAAAGAAGCAAGTGACAATTGTGGCCGATTCCTTATTAAAGACGAAGAAAAGGAAGCCATGGCGAGTCAATTGGACATTGAAATCAGGCGTTATCAAGAATTTAAGATTAGATACTCAGACTGGCTGGGAAAGTTCACTCGAAGAGAAAACCGATCAAGTGAAACGGGTATGCAAATTTCACCGAACAAATTTGAAATGCAAACAATATCTCGTGATGAAGCTCATGAAGCGGAACTGCAGACAAAGGACGGGGGCGATTCGTTGAATTCTTTAACTAGAAGTGACCGAATGGCAGACAATGAAACCGCGAAAACAACCAGAGAACGGGATAGTTTATATAAAGACAGTGCCTTGCGAGTACCAAGCCTGGGGAAGCAAAAATATTTGTCAAACTATTCAACTCAGAGCCCAAGAAGTAAGAGCGAGGGAAAACCATGGTTCGAGAACGAGTCGAAGAAGTCTAGTCAGAGTAGTGGGAGAAGTAAACAAAGTCAAAAGCTGGCGATGTCTCGGTTGAAGTTAAAACGGCTCGAAGAAAAGGAAGAGCTCCTCGAAAGACAACAGAAACTAGAAGCTGAAATATACGAACGAAAATTAAAAACAGAAATGGCAAAATTGGAATTAAAAGGTGAAATTATCGACGCTCGAGCAGAAGTTGAAAAGTGTGCAATTGAATCACAATACTCCGTTGATGATGGTGATTTCGGACGTGACGCAGATGAGCGACTTCCAGATCTAGAAAGACAGACTTTACAACAGACCATGGAGAAGTTTTTGGGATCCAGTTGGACAGAGAAGCAGGTGGAAGAATTCCCAACACCGAGTCGATCAAATCCTCCGCCGATAACTTTAGCGAGGAATGACGGAGGTATTCATCCTGAAATTCAGCGTTTACTCGAAAGACAGAGTCAAGTTATCGAAGGTCAGAATACTACGGTAGAAAAGCTGACATCTAGTCTTGACCTGCCGAAGCGTGAATTTTTGTGCTTTGATGGCAACCCAACAACGTATTTGCGATTTATAAAAAACTTTGAAGTGAATGTAGAAAGTCGGGTACCTGACGAAACAGTTAGACTTTCCTATCTTATTCAATATACCAGCGGGGCAGCTAGACAAGCTATTGAGAACTGCGTGATCTACCCGACGGATGTTGGCTACGAGAAAGCCAAAGAAATTTTACGTAAGAACTTTGGTCAAAAACATAACATCGTACGAGCGTTTGTTGAAAAAGTTGTAAAAGGACCGCAGATTAAATCCGGTGAAACCGAAAAGATGATGCAATTAGCCCGTGATATGCGCAACTGTTTGATGAATTCAATGCAAATGAACTACAAGGCGGACATTAATTCGTTGGATACGTTGATGAAGGTGGTGAAGAGACTTCCATCATATTTGCAGGCGAAGTGGGCAGATGTCTCGGGTAAATTAATCCAAGAAGAAAAAGAACCCGAATTTGAACATTTAGTTGACTTTGTGGAAAAGTATGCTGCGATAGCCAATACCACATTTGGTAAACTGGTCGGATCGAAGCCAGAAGGAGATATCAAACCAAAACCCAAAGTAAGGGAACCTGTTCTTGATTCCGGCAGAGTATCAACATTTGGAACACAGCATGCTGAAACACAGACTGGTGGTGATAGTTCGAATGATCATAAATCGCAGCAAAGAAGTAGGCAGTGTTTTCTGTGTGGAGCATCGAATCACGACTTGGAAAAATGCTACAAGTTTAGGCAGAAGTCTTACCAAGAACGATTAGAATTTACTCGGACAGAAAAATTGTGTCACAATTGTTTAAGAAAGAATCATTTTGCAAGACGATGTAGATTGGGTCCGGCATGTATGCTGAGTGGCTGTAATGTTCGACACCATTCCCTTCTTCATTTACCAGTTAATCCACCAGAGAGTTCACCCAGCTCTGAAAAAGATCAGGAAGAATCCCCTCATCGTAGTAACGAGGCCGGAAATTCTGGACATTGTGGAGTGGCAGCGAAGAAGAAACCAAGGGTATGTTTAAGAATACTTCCAGTCAGAATCACCAACAACGATGGCACTCGTCAAGTGGATACGTATGCCTTTATTGATAACGGATCAGATACGACACTTTGCACGAACAATTTAGTAGAAAAGCTTCACCTGAAACATAAACCAACTGAATTTTCCCTAACAACGGTCAATGCTCAGGACAAGAAGAGACGTGGTCTAGAAGTTGAGCTGAAGGTGCAAGCTTTGAAAGGCGAAGGCGAACTACAATTAGATCGTGTATGGAGTGTTGATCGTCTACCTATTTCAGAAAGAAGTATCCCTGAGGTGGACGATATTGGCCATTGGTCTCATTTGAATGGTATCGACTTCCCCGAGCTCGATGACAAAGAAGTCAGTATCTTGATTGGAAGTGACGTTCCGGAAGTTCATTGGACATTAGAGGAAAGACGGGGAGGACCTAAAGAACCATTGGGAGTCCGTACCATACTTGGCTGGACGCTGTTTGGTCCTATAGGAAGTGGAACTAGTACGGAAGGAAATGTTAATTTCGTACAAATCGATCATGGTGAAGAAATAACACATCAGTTAGAACGATTATATAACAGTGAATTCAATGATTTACCCTTGAATGGAGATAAACCTACGTCGATCGAAGACCGTCGAGCTCTTACTATTATGGAAAAATCTGTACGACAAGTCGATGGTCACTATCAGATATCTCTACCGTGGCGTTATAGTCCACCGTGTTTACCAGACAACAAATTATTGGCTGAGAAGAGACTCCAACAACTTCAAAGGCGATTAAAGTATGATGAACAACTGAAACAGAAGTACCGGAATGTTATTGATGATTATGTCGTCAAAGGTCATGCCAGAAGAGTTCCTGAGGCTGAGATTGACTCGAATGATAAACCCCTTTGGTATCTGCCTCACCATCCTGTATTACCTGCCAAGAAGCCAGGAAAAGTCAGAGTCGTGTTTGACTGTTCGGCACAATATAAGGGAACATCGGTCAATGATCAGCTATTAAGTGGACCAGATTTAACAAATTCACTTGTTGGGGTTCTACTTCGCTTCCGTCAAGAATCGATTGCTATGATGTCGGATGTTGAACAGATGTTTCATCAAGTCCTTGTAGATCCAAAAGACCAGGATGCCTTCAGATTCTTGTGGTGGCCAAAAGGTGATCTGAAAACGAAAGCAGAAGAATTCCAAATGCTGGTGCATTTGTTCGGTGCCACCTCATCGCCAAGCTGTGCAAATTTTGCATTAAGGAAAACAGCCGAAGACAATCGAAAGGATTTTGATTTATCAGTTATCGAGACAGTGAATCGTAATTTTTACGTAGACGATTGTCTAAAATCAGTAGCGACGATTGAAAGAGCACTTCACTTGGTAAAAGAATTACCACGGTTGTTGGAACGAGGGGGATTTAATCTTACGAAGTGGGTATCGAATCGTCGAGAAGTTACTACCGCCATACCAGTAGAGAAAAGAGCTTCTGTGGTCGATTTAGATTTGGAGAAATCGCGGATAGATCGAGCCTTGGGGGTTCACTGGGACATAGATAACGATACGTTTGGCTATAAAGTTGGAAAACGTGAGGCTGTTGATACGCGAAGGAAGATTTTATCGTTAGTCTCATCAATATACGATCCTTTGGGTATTGCTGCGCCATTGCTGTTACCAGCCAAGAAGATCTTACAAGACCTATGCAGAAATCTGATTGGTTGGGACGAAATAATTCCGCCTGAACTTTCCGTGAATTGGGAGAAATGGATTGATAATCTACCTGGTCTTGAGCGACTTGCCATTCCACGTTGTTTGAAACCCGAAACCTTGGGTAGACTTTCTTCCATTCAGTTACATTATTTTGCTGATGCTTCGGAGATCGGATATGGGGCAGTTTCGTATCTTCGTTTGGTCGACGTGTCGGGATCCATACATTGTGTCCTCCTGATGGGAAAGTCGCGTGTTGCACCGCTAAAATTACTTACTATCCCAAGATTGGAACTTTCTGCAGCCACAGTCGCAGTTAAGCTACATAAGTTTATTTCGTATGAGTTGGAACTACCGATTCACGATACAGTATTCTGGACGGATTCTACCATCGTCATACAATATATACGGAATGAAGCTAGAAGATTCCAGACCTTTACGGCTAATAGATTAGCACTGATTCATGAGATCTCAACACCTAACCAATGGAGACACGTTCCCTCGGAATGGAATCCTGCAGATTCAGCGTCTCGTGGGTTGGAGATGAATGATTCAAAGAAACTTCAACAGTGGCTTAATGGACCCTCGTTTTTGTGGGAAGCCGAATGTTTCTGGCCAGAGCAACCTGCTGACTTGATTGAATTAGCTGATGATGACGAAGAGTTGAAGAAGAAGTCTTTCAATATACACTCTGTTACAGATCATGATGGTGTTTATAGTTTGTTGAACCAATTTTCCACTTGGACGAAACTTCAAACCTCGATTGCCTGGTTTCTTCGTTTTAAGACATTTATACTCGCTGCGCTTAAAAGCTCGAGATCAAGAAATATGACTCGTGGACCACTTAGAGTTTACGAACTACGTCACAGCACACATGAAATTGTTCGTTTGGTTCAAGAGTTGGCATTTCCCAAGGAACTAGAACTTATTCGGACTGGTAAAGGCGACAGCTTGGGTAAAGTTCTTCGAGGTACAGGCTATTTAAGTCCATTGAGAAAGCTTAATCCGATTATTGTTGATGATGTCCTGAGAGTTGGTGGTCGTTTACAGAGAGCCTCGATTGGTTACAACGCTTCTCACCCAGTGATTCTACCTCAGAAACATCCAGTGACCCAGTTGATAATTAACCACTACCATCAGATGGAAGGCCATGTTGGTAGCAGCCAAGTCTTGGCCACAATTAGACAAAGATTCTGGATTCTGCAAGGTCCGAGTGCGGTTAAACAAGTAGTGCGGAGGTGCTTTACGTGTCGTCGTTGGAATTCACGCCCGATAGAGCAAATGATGTCTCCGTTGCCAGAAGCAAGAGTCACTCCAGAAGAACCAGCATTTTCGTCAGTTGGTATCGACTATTTTGGCCCACTCTTTGTGAAATTAAAGCGAAGCGTTGTCAAACGATATGGATGCGTATTCACTTGTCTTGTTATCCGGGCTGTCCATATCGAGGTATCTTACGATTTAAGCACAGATTCCTTCATACAAGCCTTTATGAGGTTCGTCAGCCGACGTGGTCCTCCTACCAAGGTCTTCAGTGACAATGGTACAAATTTTAAAGGTGCGGAAACCGAGATAAAGGAAGCTTTGACAAAATGGAATCAGGATCGTATTTCTCGTTCTTTGAGAAGTCGTGACATTGAATGGAATTTTAACCCACCAGCTGCAAGCCACGCGGGTGGTGTCTGGGAAAGGATGATCCGATCAATCAGGAAAATATTGCGTTCGTTGATGACAGATCAGTTGGTGAATGATGAAACTCTTGCAACAATTTTGGCAGAAGTCGAAAAAATCCTCAACGATTGGCCTTTGACCCGACTTAGTGATGATCCTAATGATTTAGAGCCATTGACTCTGAATAAATTGTTGTTATTACGTCCAAATCCTTGCTATCAACCCGTTGAATTTGGCGAAACGACTTCATACAACAAGAAATGGAAACAAGCCCAGTATCTTGCCTCCATATTTTGGAAGCGTTGGATTAAGGAGTACTTACCTACTTTACAAGAACGTCAGAAATGGTTACGCCCTAGACGAAATGTTGTTCCTGGTGATCTCGTTTTAGTCGTGCAAGAGAATGTTCAACGTGGACGGTGGCCGAAAGCTATAGTTGAAGAAGTATTCCCTGATGAATATGGTCATGTTCGCCATGTTATAATAAGGACTGAAACTGCGCGATTACGACGTGACGTGCGGAAACTGTGTTTGTTAGAAAGTGCTATTTAATTAGAGACGATTAGTAAATATTTAAATTAATTGGTTACACTTAGAAACAATTAATATTTCGACTTTATTGAACTATTTAATTTATTGAACGTTTTTAGATTAAAGAAAAATAACAAAAAATAATTTAGTATATGATGTAACTATTTGCTATTTGGTATAGAAAGGCTTGGAAGCCTTTGAGGCCGGTATGTAATAGCAAATCAATTAGTGCATGCATGCATGTTTAATTAATTATTTTAGTTTTAGTATAAAAGCTTGTGTTAAGCATAGGTTAGTATGTTTGTAAATTCCGAGTATAACCACGATAAAGAACCGTGGTTCTTTAAAAAGGAAATATAAATCTTAACACTTGAACCTGAGTACTTTATTATGGATAACAAAATCAAAGTGAGATCGCAGTTTAAGGCTATAATCATTGTCTATTGAACCCAAGATTAACTCTACACCTTCTATCGCATTGGCTACTCTTCCTGCATTGGTCTCATTAATGTTGGAACCAAGTGCTCTTAATTGAGATTTGAGTAGTTTGTTTAATTGTTCCATTCTCAGGTCCAGCGAAATATTTTTACTTTTTCCACCATAGTGGTTGTAAAATCGATTCCATGTAAACGAATTTGCTTGTTCCATTAATGTAGAACGCATCTTTACAAGATAAAGTAATGTAACATATGCATACTTTTGATGACCATAGCATTTATAGAACAGTAGAGCCAATTTATACACATTTGTAAGCCTTGCTCCATCACCCTCTTTAACTGCATCCTCAAATTCGAGTAGAAGTAATCCAAACACTAATTTTCCACGGTGATAATTGTAGACATAGTCTCTTTGCGTCATTTTGCCTGAAGGTGGGTTGCTGCTGGAATCATGTTGTTCATCATCACAGCTTTTATGCACAGACCTTTCATGTCTGTAATTGAAATGCAGGAAAGTTTATTATTTTATACAATTGTCAAATAGCAGGTGACTCTATGGCTTAATATACAAATTAACAGACCTGACTGACCTACTTTTTACTTGATGCCAGGATGATCGAGGTAGGAAGCAGGGGGACACCCATGTTTTATAATTAGGGTATGTAACACAACACCCCCCCCCCCCTTGCATACACAAACACAAAATAATTGGATTTTAAAAATGTAACAAAATATTTGAATTCAAGTCTAGAAGTATTTGAAGTGAAAGAGGTATATAAAACTCTGAAAATACCATTTCTAGCGGACTATCTAGAGACTCCAAACGCAGCACAGAGATCGAAGCTTCCTACACCCCTGTTTGACACTGTCACCACAGTATAAATAATAGAACAGAATGGCAACTGAATGTCGGATCCTTTGAAGTCGGTGTCCTCGCGCATGCCGCCATTACTCTGGCCAGTAACTTGCTGACAGAATAAATATAAATTGTATTGAGCGAGCGTTATATTTTCGTTTTAAAAGCATACCATGGGAGTTTATGTTCAAAATTTTGGTTTTAATGACCAGAGCACTCAAGGAGAAGGTATGTAATTTCAATTTATTTATTTAAAAGTCAAACTAAATGCTTGTAGGCACATTTTTTTCTTCGATATTGTTCATGGAGAACCGAACCCAGTAGCTATCGCCTATCGTACAATAGCACAGATAGTAGTTTTAATATAGTTTTAAGTTTCGATCTTTTCTGGCTATCTTTAACAGTGATTGAATAACAAATCATAAATGGACATCCTTATTGTGCCTCAATATCCTAAACTATTAAGAAGAGTGTCGAAATGTTTGGCTTGTGAGCAGTAACTTTAGTCATTTAAGGCTATATATTTACAATCCAGTCTTGTAAACCAGAGCAGCGTTAACACATGTCCAGTATATTATTTAAAGATGTGTGACTTTGATGTATTTTCTGTCCTTTGGTTTAGATGTGTCTAAGTCTCTGTTGGCAAATTTTATGCTGTAGTATATTCGCATTCTTATAAACAGTTTTTGCAAATATTCCAGGGAAAATTCTCGACAGCATTGGAAGGTGATGGCTATGGGTTTGATCTTCGTCAAAATGTTGGCTCCAACACCAGGGCACTTTGTGTAAACAGAAAATTGATCTGAAAACACATCTTCAAGTTTAATAACATACTCCAAGTAACAGGGTGATGGTGCATTCAATCCACCAAAGGGAGTTTTGTTATCTTCAAATGACTTGAAAAAACAGAGAAGATTTCGGTTGTCATCCAATTGGTTGGACAAAAGAGCATCCTGACATTTTTGGCACTTGTGGATTTTGAAACTCTTCTTCAAAAGGTATAAGATAAGGTGTCTTTAATGACAACATTATTCACGCTTTAGTATAGCGAATTACAAATGTGTTTGCAGACCAAGTTAAAAATAAATTTACAAATGTTTCAGGACTTTAAAAAAAGCTCATGTACTGGGATTGGTTTACAATTATTGATGAAAAACCCCATCAACTAAATTATAGATAAGTAGATGTGCCCCCCCATATGGCAAAATTTTCCCGCCATATGACGTCAGCGTTTTTAGGGATAAGGGTGACGTCATTTTTGGAACATTGTCACATAACATTTGTCGTGTGATCTTTTGAGATGGCGCCAGCAAAATGTATAAAAACGGGAGTTTTATATTTATTTTAAAATGGAAAGTTTATGTGATATGTTTGCAGCAATGAGTATTTCTCAGGAGGTTCAAACGATTTGGTTGTGGATGAAGTATCTTATGAAGTGAAGAATGTTTGTGATTTGATGAATGCTGTGTTTTTCAAGGGCGGGTGTTTGTGAAATTCGGAGATTATTGAAGGAGAAATGTCCAGGCTGCGAAGTCGATCATCCGAGTCAGAGGAGACACGACTGTATTATGTTGTCAGACAAGGAGGGATTGGTTACTGCATGGTTTGGAAGCAGTGGAGCGTGTGATTGAGTGTGGAATTGTGAAGAAACAGTTTCTTGAAGCTATTCAAGTGATGAAATTGGAATATTACGAGCGTGCGAAAGAACATTATGTGAACTTGATAAAAGTCGTGAAGTAACACTTGATTTTTTGGGGGATTTGAGAGGAAGTTTTTCTGATTATGAACCCATTTTGAACTACCTAATGTATTGGTGCAAAGAACATTGTGCATAAGACACGTTTAGTAGAAAACATTTATTTATTTATAAAGTTGTAAAAGATTTTTTAACAGAGATGTTTTGTAAAACTACTGTTTTTTTGAGAACAAAGATTTTACAATTTATTGAGTTGTTCTCGTAGTTTTCTTTCTAAATGTTTCTGATACGCTTTTTTATGATCCGTTTCAAGGGATTTGAATGTTCCTTTGTCCCTTTGACATAATAGGTGTATCTTGGCGGTGAGCTGAAATGACATTGAGCATAGGTTTCCAGGGGGTCAGTTTGTGGATTCCATAAGTCATGTAGAATACGTAGTAATGGTTGATTGTCTTGATATACTTGTAGTAAAGTGTAGACAAAGTTTTGATTGGGTTCCTCTTGCAAACACATCAGGTGCTGTGTGAAATCTTTGATTTTCTACGTTTAGAATTTTGATAGCGGCCACAAATTCGTTCCATGTGGAGGACATTTTGTTTATTTGTTCTATAGCGTTGAACCTGTGCATTCCCCAAGTTTCGTGTTCATCCATCGTTAGACAATCCTGTTCGTATATTTTACAACCACAGCAGCGTTCATTGCTATTTTTTTAACCTCACATGCTACGTTCTTAGCGTAGATTACTTCCAGTAAGTGAAATATTGAACCAGCCATCATCCGAGGTAGTGTACAACTGTTTACCATGCTTTTTGACAAATTTAGGTATATATATACTTTTTTAGGCATTAGTTCCACGACATTTGGTCGCGTAGCATTTGTTCCATGACTTTGTCGCGTAGCGTATGTTCCATGACCTTTGTCGCGTAGCATATATGATCTGGCCTAGTAAGTGTGACCTTGATCTTGGGAGTCAGTGTGGATTTTGTGCACTTTTGGCGCCAAGACAGCATCCATGTATGTGTGTGACGGGACATTTTGGGGCAGAAGCGAACAGCTGAGGCTACAAGCGAGAAAGCAAAAGCGAAGGAAAACAGAGCGAAAGGAATCAGGTATGGATAGTGACGGTAGACGAGAAAGGCATAATGAATGACATAGGCGGTATCAGGCAAGGCGCAGGCAGCAAGAGGAAGAGAGGATAGAGAGCTTGCGCAAATGCGCGAACTCTACGTCCTTATGATGGACGTGAATTTTGTTTCTGTGGCTGTATTTGAAATGGTGACAAGGTACCATGACCATCCTGAGACGTTGGTAGAAGACACGATTGTTCTGCAGGAGCTGGGGCTGCTCTGGAGAAGAAAGGAAGAAACAAAAAACGGCTCTTTTAAGAGCCACCAAATCTATGGAAGAATATGAGCGATTCGAAATTGTATATAATTTTTTCATGTAGGTAAATGGTTTGCAAGAGAATTTTTATGTGTGAGTTGAAGATTTATAGGGCTGTGTGAGGCAAGTGCAAATATTGTATTCGTTTGAATTCTTTTACATATTTGTTGGTTCCTAAAGGAACCGGGTTTTTTTCTTCTTTACAGCTGTTTTTCTAGCCACAATCCGTACGCCTCCACTTCAACTTTGGGACAGTGCTGGTATGCGTCGGCAGTCGGGTGTTTTCCGCAGGTTTCTAGCCATATCATCTTGTCGAACAGTTTTTGCGCTTTTGGGCAACCGAAGCATTCTAGGTTTACGGACGGAATGCTTCCAATTGAACTACAGACAAAGGCTCCTTTTGGTTTTGTGGACAGAAGCCCAGCTGTGGATTCCTATGTACTGAAAAGGATGGTTATCTGCTCTAACAGCATGGAGACGCAGCCGATATGTGAGAGTCACCGGAAGCCAGCAAAGTTTTGTGTAGTTAAAGACATGCTGAAAAAGTCTTATGGGCGGCCGTATTTTACGCGTGCAAGTCGGGAGAATCCTTGTTCCTTATGGATGTGGGCAGACGAGAAAGAAATCGAGAAACCCAACTGCTATCACAACGAACCGTGTGCCATGAAGCGAGTCAAGAAACAAGGTCCCAATGCGGGTAAAAGGTTCTTCTGTTGCTGCAACGAAAACCGGTGTGATTATTTTGGATGGTGTCCTGAGGAATTGCCAAAACAGCCTGATGCCATGGCATCTTTTGTACCGTTGTTTTACAATCGTTATTATCCAGATGTTCAGCAGAACTGAAACATTTATATAAACATTTAACGTATAATTAAAAGAGCTTTGTATTATCATGTTTATGAATATATATTTGAAACGTTTTACACTGTGTGTTCATTTACTCTTGCAATAGGGTCGGTCCAGAACCAGCGTCGGAAAAATGATGTTGAAATGAGAACAATACCTCATCATGTCAAATATTTGTTTGAGCTTATCACATCTCAGATTTTAACCCGAACTGCACCCCCCACAGGGTCCAACACCCGACGGAACCCTAATTCTACCCCTAACTTTAGCCCCAAAATAATTTTTTTTTTTCAAAAATAAAAATGTGTGCGAGTGTGATTTCACATCTAGCCAGCTCCTAGTAAGGGAATCGAACCCTTTTTGACTTAGGACTTTTATACCCTAACACGTCGCCATTCCGCCACCATAGACTGCCACTAGTTGCGAAACCACACAATACTACTACTATTAGTTTCTGTATTTATACAGCAAACACTACTGTTGCATTATGATCACGGTTGTTTTTTTTACACATTCAGTGGTTCTCACACTTATGCATAGCTTTCGGATTGTTTATATGGTTGCAGGAAAATTAACGTTTCATTATGATTAAGCTATTAAATATCAATGGTATATAAAACAGCAAACACTGAACCGAAATTAACAGTCAAACTAATTAGCAACCTGAATTGTGTGAATAGTTCCAAAATTTTTTTTTACACTTTGGGCGCACTTCTTTTTGTATGTGCAAGCGCTACACGCTGTTGTGAAGTCTATGTATTTGGTATTTTGGACTGTAATGGTTTAGGACTGGAAATGATCGGAGGGCTGTGGGAAACGGAAAGAGGCTGGGTATTAAACGTCGACTTTCGGGAGAACCGTTTTGTTACTGTTAACATAACGGAACTTCTGAAAGCGTTTCCAAACCTTTTGCGTATAGACCTTCGCAAGAACCCGGAGCTCGACTGCAGGGCCATTACGAATTTAAGGATACGTACTAGGAGTGACTGTAAGTTTGTATCATTTGTTACATCGCATACACGATCTGACATTTATCGCAGCTTATAGTACTGTTTAACTGCTTCTCTTTATTAGGTATACTAGATATGGTGTCAAATGTTACATCAGAGTCCACAGGCAGTTCCACACTTCCACCCCAAACCACAGATCCTACCACCTCTGAGATTTTACCTCGAACCGCACCCCCCACCGGTTCCTTAACTCTAACCCTGACCCCAATCCCGACACCCAGCGGAACCCTAATTTTACCCCTAACTTTAACCCCAGTACCCACCGTAATTATAATTCCAACTTCACCCGGGACCCCAACCCGGACCGGAACCCAGCCGCCACCCCAAATCCTAACCCCGACCGCAGCAGTACCGCAAATTACGCCCACCTATACCTCAGCCACGATCTTAACCCCCAGTACAGCATTACCCCGGAACTCAACCACATTCCCACCCGGAATCCTTACCCCTAACGGAACCTTGCCGCCGACCCCGCCCCCCCCATCCAGGACCACAGCCACAATCCTGACCGGGACCCCATCCCGGACCACAGCCGCAACCCCGGCCAGGACCTTCACCCCAACTGCAGCATTACCCTGGAACTTGACCACATTCCCACCCGGAATCCTTACCCCTACCGGAACCTTGCCGCCCACCCCGCCCCAGACCCCATCCCGGACCACAGCCGCAACCCCGGACCCCTCAGTATCTTATTATTGGACTGTCGGTAGGAACGCTTCTGTTGCTCCTTGGTATGCTTTACTGTTGTAGGCTCTGGGTAACGGGGCAGCAACAGAGAAGCGCAACCGCTTTACAAAGGCCCTCTGAGATAGAGCTGATGTCACTTGACCGTTTGCCACACACTACATTGTAAATATAAATATTACTTTTAAGTCTTATATTGTATATACAGTTTATGAATACTAGTTTATACACTGAAGCACTTAACATGTGCTGCGTATATGATTTTAACCGGACTGCACATTTTAGTGTGTCTTAAACAGAATGGATCTTATTTTAAATGTATAGGCACACTAAAATGAACAGTACAGAATTAATAGTATTTCGTATTAACTCATTAACGCCCAATGCGCCCTGAGATTGACAAGTGGGTAACAGACAATGCACCCTCAAATGACACCTCAACTTGCGGGCATGATATTTGAGCACGTGTTTATCGGGTTGCCTAGCAACGGATTAAAGAAAATAGAACGTGAAATTCGAGCTTTTCAACTGTGTATCATGCAAGAAAATTGGTCAGAAACTCGCAAAGTTTTTCAAGTTTAAAACCTTAGTTTTTCAAAAATAATGAATAATGGAGATATTGTTGCAAAGAAGGATTTTACAGCAAGTTTTAAAAGCGAAAAAAGAAGAGGTTTTCGGATGATATACAATGAAAATTTGGCATGAAAGGAAAGCGAATGTATTGACGTTTTGGGCCAAGTTTTTCTGTGAACCTTGCGAGAGATTTTCAGCCAAAAAGATGAGGATTTCTCCAAACTTTATTAAAAATAGAAGTCGGAAATCACAAGAAAGATGAACACGGAACACAAGTGAGCAGACACGATTTTTTATTTTTGAGTAGAAATATGCGATCAAACACTCACAAAATTCGACCGCATTAATGTTGGTTGAATCTAGTTTAAAGTTATCTTTTTAGACGAACTGTTTATGCAAATTTGGGCACAATTTCGACTGTTTTCGTGACCCCATTCAGCGTCTTCTTGTTCAAGTTGTTATTTTAGCTAAAGTATGTTTCAAACGACACCAGATTCTGCGTGTGTGACCTTTTTTGACCTTTTTGGCAAGAATACTTCGAGTATTAAATTACACTAAATAAGTAGGATATTCCAATGTCACTGTTACATCTATTTTCACCAATCTAGTCTTAAAATGACAACTCATTTCAGACATATTGTGGTTTAAAATAAGTGTATTGA